CTCTTCCAAAATTGTGAAATTCATGGCCCCTGGGTCAGGGGTTCTGGTGTTAGGGCAGGGCTCTATTGATTATATAGTGAAAATGCATTAATCCTTTGAAAATCTTCTTCTCTGCTCCTGGGTATTAAATTCAGTAACTAAGTACATAGTTATGATGAGCAAGAGTGCCTCTTTCAAAATTGTGAATTTCATGGCCCCTGGGTTAGGGGTTCTGGTGTTAGGGTGGGGCTCTATTAATTATATAGTGAAAATGCATTAATCCTTTGAAAATCTTCTTCTCTACTCCTGGGTATTATTGAAACACATTAAATACATAGTTATGATAATCAAGGATGCCTCTTTCAAAATTGTGAAATTCGTGGCCCCTGGATCAGGGGTTCTGGTGTTAGGGCGGGGCTCTATTGATTATAAAGTGAAAATGTTTTAATTCTTTAAAAATCTTTTTCTCTGCACCTGGGTATTATTTAAACAAACTGAGTACATTGTTATGATAAGCAATGATGCCTCTTCCAAAATTGTGAAATTCATGGCCCCGGAGACAGGAGTTCTGGTGCTAGGGCGGGGCTATATAGATCCTATAGTGAAGGTGAATTATTTCTTTGAAAATCTTCTTCTCTGCCCCTGGGTATTGCTTAAACAGGCTAAAGTACATTGTTATGATACACAAGGATGCCTCCACGGTAGCTCAGTCGGTAGAGCGCTCGCTCCGTGATCGGGAGGTCGTGAGTTCGAATCTCGGCCGCGACTGACCTAAGTCGATAAAAAATGGGTAGCAACTGTTCCTTCGCCATGCGCTCGGCACTTTGAAGTGAAAGTTGCGGGTCCTTCGGATGAGACCTTAAAAACCGAGGCCCCGTGTCACGGCAGGCGTTGGCACGATAAAGATCCCTCACTGCTCAATGGCCCTGAGTGTCGAGTAAAGGTCAAAATTTGAAGCCCTTCACCGGTATATGGTGACGTCTCTATATGAGTGAAAAATTCTCGAATGGGACGTAAAACAACATACAATCAATCAATCAATCAAGGATGCCTCTTCCAAAATTGTGAATTTTATGACCCCAGGTTTAAGGGTTCTGGTGAGGGGGGGGGGGGGCTTCTATTGATTATAAAGTGAAAAAGCAAAATTTCTTTGAAAATATTCTTTTCTTCTTCTGGTTAAAAAAGCAAAGAAGCTAAGTGTATAGTTATGATGAGCAAGTGTGCTTCTTCCAGAGTAGTGAATTTCATGACCCCTGGGTCAGATATGCTGGTGTGAGGGTGGGGCTCTTGATAATTTAGTGAAAATGCATTAATTCTATTAAATAATCCTGTTTGCTCCTTAGTGTTAAGCAGATAAACAAAGTGATGATGAGCAAACATATGGTCCCAGGGTCAGAAGCTCTGGTGTTTTTTTTTTTTTGGGGGGGGGGGGGGGGGCTCTATTGATAATATAGTGAATCTGTAGTAAAAATGCATTATTTATTTAAAAATCTTCTCTGCACCTGGGCATATCTGAGGCAAACAGAGTAAAAGTTTTTATAGGGAAGGGAATTTTTACCAGATTTTTGAACATCTGGACCATTTGGTCAAGTGTTCTGGTCCTGGCCAGGGCTCTATTAGTTTGTATTCTACTGAGAGGAGTTATTCCCCTTTGCCATTTACTTTTGATAATTTATCACTGTAAATAATGTACTTGAAAGGTAAATAGAGAATTTTGCAAAAACTTTTATTGTATAATACAAAAAGTACTTTCATAGTTTTAATGATCAGATAGACTTGTAAGTAGTAGATAAATAAAAATGAGACAAAAATAACTTGTCTTATTAAATATTCATCAAAGACCAAGAGATGCCAATGTAAGAGATTTCAACAAAGGATTAAAATAGTAAAGAAGCATTGATAATTTGTTAGTACACTGTATAGTGATAGTGATAAATGGGGAACAGATTAGAACCTAATTTATGAACTGTTAATGAATATTAAGACCAATTATTTTGTTGATCATGATCATGATCAGATAGACTTGTAAGTAGTAGATAAATAAAAATGAGACAAAAATAACTTGTCTTATTAAATATTCATCAAAGACCAAGAGATGCCAATGTAAGAGATTTCAACAAAGGATTAAAATAGTACAGAAGCATTGATAATTTGTTAGTATACTGTATAGTGATAGTGATAAATGGGGAACAGATTAGAACCTAATTTATGAACTGTTAATGAATATTAAGACCAATTATTTTGTTGATCATGATCAGCCTATTTTTCTTGCTTTTGGGCAACAAAGCTTCACCTTTCGGTTCATTTTATACTCTATGCATCCTTGAAATTGTTTTATCATACTCAGGTGACCGTTAAGGCCCTTGGGCCTCTTGTTCAATACGGTGTTTAAATTTTAAGTGGACCAACGGTTCACCTAGTCCAGAACATTTGGTGGACCTTCCAATTTTTTGGTGGACTCGGGCCGCCGGTCCACCGTTAGTGTCGAACCCTGTTAAGGATGAAATGGTATGATACCATACCGGTATTTTTGAAACGATACAGTATTTTTAATGATATGGTACTATGCATTGATGAATGAGAATGAGGGTTCATTTTATAACAAATATCCTTTCACCATTCACTAACCTTTCAATGATGTAATCTAAAATGAGCATATAAACTGATAATGTTCCATGCTTTTAATTAAGAGATAACAATAGATATTCCTAATATTTAAATTACAAACATTTCATTTCAATCTTTTAATAATGATCAACAAAACAAATCAATTGAATCCCCAAAAAATTGATTTGCACAAATCGGCTGACTTCTTCATCCGGGTGACAGGACCCCTTTTGTTTGGTTGCACTAAATGAGGAAACAGTAGATAATGGATAGATCACATTTTTTGTGACATTTTTCCTTTTTAATTTACATTTATTATCAGTTTTTATTTGTAAAATTAAAATAAGATTCATGTGAATGTATTTTGATTTAATAAAAAAAAAGAAAAAGATATACATATTGATTTACCTTGAATATCGGCAGTCGAAAGTAAGTATCGTTCTAAGAATCCATTTCGTTACATGTAATTAGCCTACCCTTTCAATGAGTGGAGAATTCGATTTTAGCAAGTTTGGAATTTTTTTTTTTTTTTAAATCAAATTGAATGTATTAAAATGTTTTAAAGATTATGAAGTACCGTTATTAGTACCGGTATTAAATGAAACGGTATTTTACCAGTACTTTTGAAGTAACTATTCGATACGGTATTGGTACCGAGTACTGGTATCCAACCCTGATGATAAATAATATTATAATTATATATGTAGTATAAAATCAAAAGCTTTTTGGATTTGTAAAAAGAAAATCAAAATATTTGATTATAATTAATTAGGTAAACTGTAAATCATAGTAGTACGTAGTAGATGTAGTACATCTTATTGGCTAAGATATCTACCTGGTATCACTATCCCTGATTTAAAAATTTTGGTTTCCAAGTAATTCCTTTTATGTACTCATAAGAGAGTATATTCATATACTTATAGTCATGAGTGTCATTTGTTTCCATGCTCGAGGCAGATGTAGTCTATAAAGGTCCATGAAATGAACCCAATGATCCCTGGTTTTTCTTTTATATGTAACTAAAGAAGGATCTAAGAAAATTGGTATATGTAGAGAACCAATGTAGAGTGTGGTGTAAATATCAAACCTTTTAAAAAAAGAGGCCTTTCAGTTCTTATATCTCAAACAGGAGCACAAAACTATCCAGAGCAATTTGTTAAAACAACATGATTGTTTGTAATAACTGCAGTGTTTTTAGAAGGATTAAAAGAAGTTTGTTTTGTTTGGGAGGTCAACATTACCGCTACATTGCGAAAAATTTCAACTCATTACCGCTTCATTTTCTCAAATTTTCGGGGGACTACTACCGCTACATTTTATCAAAAGTACTAATGCCGAAAACAACACATTACCGCTACATACCGAAACGGCCGGCAATGGCACGAAATATGAGTTCCATTCAATATAATTCACTCACCATGTAGTGAAGTACAATTTGGATTTGAATTCTAATTAAAATGAGTAAATATAAGTCTGTAGTGGAATGTGTAAAGCCTGTGTGTTTTATCTATGGACAATGTTTGATTTTAAACTTTTTCAAATGTTTTATGAAATAAAGTAGTTTTTAAATTAAAAAAATGAAAAAAAAAACCCATCTTGCTCAAAGTCCTACTTTCACCTCCCTGTGGTGAGCAGGGGCAACAGGTCTTATGCATATATATGTTGTACTGTACATGCATAAGACGCTGGATAAAGAAAGAGGTAATATAGTGGTAATGTAGACTTTTAATTGTAGCGGTTATGTATCCTTTTTTGTAGCGGTAATGTGCATGTAGCGGTAATGAAAATTTTGAAAATGTAGCGGTAATGATATGCACCCTTTTGTTCTTGGACTAATAATTAATGAACTTGATAATTTTACAAAACTGAAAAGAAACTTGAATTGGAAAACTTCAGTTTTGTTTTTAAAATACACCCAGGGAAATATGTACTGCTTCAGAATGCTTATGGGTAAGGAACCTTGTGGAGTTATATGATATACTTTGCTTCTGTTTTTATTTCATTTCTGAATTTTGTACAAATTGAATGAATTGAAGAAATAAAAAAAACTGTAACTTTGTATTTCCCAGTATTTCCCAATATTTCCCAGTTTAGAGAGAATGTGTAGTATTTCCCGGGATGTGAAATACCAGTATTTACCACCGGTAATTCCCAATCTAATATTTCCCGGCCAACTCTGGATTGAACAGAAGATTTGGAGCAAGTCCATTCCAAAGTACCTATACATCCTACACAGACCAAACTTGTACACGTGTTGCAAGTAGGGATGCTTACTACCAGAATATTTATTTCTTAAGTGTGAGACTTTGCCTTACTTAAAGATAGCATTTGTTGAGGTGAAGTATGTAAACTTTGATTTCCTTTGTTTTTCATTGCACTGCATGAAAGAATATTTCACTGCTGGTATGTTACAGATAATAAGAGAAAAGGAGATGATATAGAGAATCCAGGGTCCAAAACTCGACGTATGGACCAGAAAAGATGTGTGGATCTTATTGTGTTGGGATTACCTTGGAAGAGTACAGAAGAGGACATGCGCAAATATTTCTCCCAGTTTGGAGAGTTATTATTAGTTCAGGTTTGTTAAAACCTTAAATTCTAAAATAGGCAATTACTTGTTTTTTTTTATCATGTTTATGGCAGTCGTTAATAACCTCAGATTATTATTTATTTTTATCATATTTAGAATTTTGCAAAGAAAACTAAAAAGAATAAATAATTAATGAATAATACAAAATTCCCCCCCCCCCCCCTCAACAAAAAAAAAGAGTTTGGAGGGTATATAGGAATCACCTTGTCCATCTGTCTGTCCTCTGTCAATGCAATCTACTCATACATTGTACAAAGATTGTTTATGACCTGAGGGTTTCTCATGACCTTGACCCAATGTCAAGTTCAAGGTTACTGGCAGAAAAAATATAATTCATGTCCGGTCTATAACTTCCTAGTGGAGAAATATTGGATTCTAAATTGTTCAAATCATGACCCCCGGGGGTAGGGCAGGGCCACAATAGGGAATCCAAGTTTTACATTGAAATATGTAGTAAAAATCTTGAAAATTCTTCTTCTCAAGAACCACTGGGCCAGAAAGGCTGAAACTTATGTGGAAGCATTCTGGGGTAGTGTAGATTCTGAATTGTTCAAATCATGACCCCCGGGGGTAGGGCGGGGCCACAATAGGGAATCCAAGATTAACATTGAAATATGTAGTAAAAATCTTTTAAAATCTTCTTCTCAAGAAACACTGGGCCAGAAAAGCTGAAACTTATGTGGAAGGATGACCCCTGGGAAGGGCGGGGCCAAAATAAGTGCTACAAGGGGGGGGGGGATCAGGTGTAAAACAGTAAGGCCAAAGTTACTCAGGTGAACGTTGTGGGCCATGGGCCTCTTGTTAATGTATTTTATACTTCAGGCATTTTTCATGGGTTTCTACTCTACTTTTTTTGCTTATTAAAATTGAAATATACAAGGATTGTCTGGTAAAATCATGATCAAAGCATTTTTATCGAAAAATAATGTGCGCACTAAGCTGAAATTTTCAGCAAATGTTTATTTATCATATTTAAGTACATCTTAATTTTTTGATAAAATATAGACAAAGATTTTAAATAAAGATTTTATTATATTAGTGTATTAGTGCACAGGGTGACGACCAAAAAATCAGAGGAAAAATGGCAATGGTTGATGACATTACGGTGCACCAGAGAGCAGTTCAGTTTGATTTAGAATTAGTGATAACGCCTTAAGAGACTTCAGATGATTACAGGGGAAAAAAAGACATTATTTGATATTTAGTTTACAAGTGAAATGGGAGTTTTCTAAGTGGAACTCTGGAAGCTATTTGATTGAGTCTCCAGGTAGAAAAAAAAACAAATGAACAAACAGCTACTGGCGATTGCGAAAGACGCTATCGCTGCAGACTTTTGATATGAGATTGCCTATTAAGTTGAGTGACCCCAGTGATAGTGAGAGTACTGTTCATAACTTACTAATAAATCTTCAGAAGGCCCCAGTGATAGTGAGAGTACTGTTCATAACTTACTAATAAATCTTCAGAAGGCCCGATGTGTGTGCCAGATTGGTCCCTCAACTGTTTATGGAGGAATAAATGGAAGCTTGAGTGTGCATGTGCATCAGCGAAATTCCCAAATTTGTGTGAGGCTTATCCCAACTTTTTTTCTTAACAAAGATGAAATGTGAAGCTGCTTTCAATACTTTGACGTTATGATACGTGCGCCATAAGGCAATACCACACACAACATAAAATCCCATGTTTTGTTAATTAGTGCATACATCTCTTTGAACTTTGCTATGTTTATTAATGAAAAAATGCATTGAAGAGTAGTGAAAATTTAAGAACACAGTGCTGATTATTTTTCACTCTAGACAACTTGTTCATGATTTTACCAGACAGCCCTCATATACAGTGTTCCAATCAAATATAATCATAATATTACTAAGACCTTTAAAGTCTTCTTGTTGATTTGAATTCATTTCTTAAGGTTGAAAGAATATGAATGAAAAGGCATTAAAATAACTTCAATTATTTAATAGGTAAAAAGAGATGGCAAAACTGGACAGTCTAAGGGGTTTGGTTTTGTGAGATTTGCTGACTTGGAAGCACAAGCCAAGTGTCTGTCACAGCGACACATGATTGATGGAAGATGGTGTGAAGTTAACATCCCTGCCTCGAATGTAAGTCGTGTAACTCTATTATGGTGATGCAAAAAAGGAATTTTCTTCCCTTTGCAATCAAAAGTGCCAATTGGTACAGGGACCATTTAACATGTGCTTCAAATATTGTGCAAGACATTTCTCAAGAACAGCAAAGCCATGATGAGTCATATTTATATGGAAGCATCTTCAGGTAGTGTAGATTCAAGTTTGTTCAAATCATGACCCCTGGGGTTGGGCGGGCCCAAAATGGAGGATCAAAGTTTTACATAGAAATATATAGGAAGAACTGCAAAGCCATTAGTCATTTTTGAAATGGAAGCATCCTCAGGTAGTGTAGATTCAAATTTGTTAAAATGATGACCCCCGGGGATAGGATGGGGCCACAATGGGGAATCAAAAATTTTACATAGGAACATGTAGGAAAATTTCTTCTTCTCAAGAACAGAAAATCATGTTTAGTCGTTTTGGTGTGGAAGCATCATCAGGTAGTGTAGATTCAATTTGTACAAATGATGACCCCGGGGGGTAGGTTGGGGCCATGATGGGGGATCAAAAGTTTTACATAAGAACTAGGGATGTCAATTTTAGTCAGACAGCCTAGTCGAATAGTCGAAGGCTTTAATCGAACGATAGTCGAGTACTCGTTGAAATTTAAATTAATTTTTCATGTCATTTTTCCTGTTTGTCTTTAACAAACTGTTAGTTAGTTCGTAGAATATTTAATCTACACTATTACCATTATACAACGAATAACGAATTATTATTGAATCGTTAACTTTTTAGTAATAAATATATGTATCCAATATATTTGATTTCAAATATAATATTAACTGCACATTTTATCTATATACAGAACATCAAACGCTTGCATTTATCCCTTCTTTTCATGCTGCTAGTACATATTGTTCATGTACCCATTATTGATTTCTTACCTGAAGCCATTTGAATGTGTCTTGTCAGTGACCCATGATTGTTAAACAATAAAAACGTAACTCTTATAAAAACAAAGAGAGCTTGCGATAAATTTTAATTATGAGATTTTTTGCAAACAATCAAAACAATTTTAAAATGATTGATATTAATATAAAAAAGAAATACCTTTAAATTACGCTCATAAATGTCCCCCAATTTACATGTATTTACAAATATGTAACAGCAATTTCATTAATATTCATTAATTGATAGTTGCATTATATGAAATCTTATGGAATTGCAGGTTGAAACTTTACAATTTACAATTTGGATCTGACATCTTTTAAAGTATGCCAATGCATGCAACATCTTTTAAAGTATGCCAATGCATGTTTGCCGAACAAAAAAAATTATTTGAACAATTAACTAAGACTGGTTAAGCTTTTCCATGGGTTTTACTCACAAGAACACTGAACACTGATACGTTAATAAATGAACTGAGCAGATCCAATTTTTTTTTTACCTTGAATTTAATATTGCTATTAAGTACCAAATTTTTAACGAATAACCGACTAAGAAAATTTTAGTCGATAGTCGGTATGATCGAACAATAGTCAAGTACTTGAATATTCGTTGACATCCCTAATAAGAACATATGGAAAAAAAAATTCTTCTCAAGGACAGAAAAGCTGTTTAGTCATATAGATATGGAAGCATCCTCAGATAGTTTACATTCAAGTTTGTTCAAATGATGACCCCTGGGATAGGAAGGAGCCACAATGGAGGATCAAATTTTTTTACAAAGGAATATATGGGAATTCTTTTTTTAAAAATCTTCTCAAGTTCAACAAAGCCATTTGTTATATTGACATGGAAGCATCATCAGGTACAGTACCCGCAACGTTATTCTTTACAGGATACACGATACGATAGGATACACGCACGATACGATAGGATAAACGCACGATACGATAGGATACACGCACGATAGGACAGGATACACGCACGATAGGATAAACGCAAAACACGATAAACGCAAAACACGATAAACGCAAAATACGATAAACGCAAAACACGATAGACCTGATAAACGATCTTCACGATAGGATAAACGCAAAACCTGATAGGATTGTTTCAAAATGCGGAACGTTTTTTGACAAGACGAATAGATTCTTTTGTTTGATATACTGCAACATGTTAATTTTAATACTTGCAAAGCTGCAAATCTAAATGATAATAATATTTAAAGTATTATGAAAAAAAACACTTGGGGTCACTATGGTAAGTTTATATAACCTGTTTATTTATTTATTTTTTGACAATAATTAAGTGGATTGTAGATAAATGTAGACTTTAATTATTTTAGATCATTTTACTCAATGGTGAACATTTCCGATTATTTGTGTAAATGTCGAAATTCTTATTAAGGTTGAACTATGAATCTTTTAATTACAGAGGTTGCTCAAAAATTCCGTAGATAAGTGTTGTTTCTCACAGGTACGATAGATTTATGAAACTCTAGAAATAGATTTATTATTTATACAAGAAATATATACCTAAGAAATTTATCTACAAATACTTAGTATTTTCACGGAAAAAAATCTATGCAGTGAATTAAATATTTGTATTCAATGTCTGATGCTTAAAGTCTGTGATGTATCCAAAAATCACAATATAAAAATAAAGGGTAAAAAAATGGTTATAACAAAATTAATAAATTTGTTGTTATAGATCTATCATCAACTACTACCCCCCCCCCCCCCCGAAAAAAAAAATCAGGGTAGAAATCTAAAGAAATGCTAATATAATAGCGCCCTTCAATAAT